GAAAAAAACCCATATATGAGAAGACTTATTTTTAAAAATCCAAGTGGATATAGGTAATCAGCTTAATTGCTGTGCTTCTGATTATGAACAATAGCATATGCCTATAGAAATGAAATAACTTTCCTTCAAATGCTGTGGACTTTTAAAAATGTGTTTAAGCCATAGTTCCATAGTTTCATTTATTTGGTATAGCCCTGTGAGCCATTCGGCCCTTGAATCGGGTGCAACCGCAACAAACCAAAAACATGAACAAGAAAACATCTTAAAGTGATTATGTGACTGTGCAAACAGAAAATCCAGGAAAAAAACATCAAAATATTCCTGAAATAGCACCGTACACCAACGCTGTGTGCAAAAATCCCAGTGGGATGCAAGTCAAATAACAACAACAACAACCACAAGGCAACTAAGATTAAGGCCATCAGTCTAACTCCGTACTACAATAAACAAAAAACATGGCCAAAACAAAAAAAAACTTTTCGAAATCACCAAAATAAAAGCCATAAATCCAATGTAACAGTGATCATAGGGACTGTGACCGAATTTTTTTTACAATAAACTACATAAATAAATTATAACACCAAACCCTAGAGCCATATTTTAGGCCACTGAATAGCAGTGACAGCTAGGGGTGTACAACTCCTCTAGAGCAGTTTTGAGTGAAGATCTCATAGGTAATGATTCAAGTTGCAGTTTATTGACAATAGCATTCCAGACCCTGGGGGCATCAATAGCAAAGGCCCTTCCTCCGTACTCTTTGGTTCTATTCGGTAAAGTCACGTAGGTTAAAAAAAAAAATCACGACGTTTTGGCCACAACACAAGTGGCCTTCATCAGGTGAAGGGACCGAGCTGTCATGAGGACAGCGTTGGAGTGAAAACAGACAAGCCCAGGTCGCGTCCTTCAAGCTGTGTAGGAGGAAGCAAAACGCTTTGCCAAAGGAATTAGCATAACAATGAGCATGATGTACGTAGGAGCTGCATGGGCCATGATGGACCACGAGCGGGTGGGGACCATGACGGATCAGCAGCGGGGGTGGGGGGGGGGGGAGTAGAGTGAGTGAGTGGAGTGAGTGAGTGGAGTGAGTGGAGTGAGTGGAGTGAGTGAGTGGAGTGAGTGGGTGGACTGAGTGAGTGAGTGCGGAGCAAGCGAAGTAATCGTGGGGAGTGGAGAAACAAAGGTGGCGAGCGAGTCGAGTGAAGCACGGTGAGCGAGCTGTGGCGACATGGATACTGTGGAATGTGGAGGACATGCTGAGAGTTGTAAATAAAGCGGTGTTCGAAGAAAGACAGAAGTTGTTCCAGTGAAATCGAACACTACACATCTATGACTGGGTTTGGACAGTACTTGCTTTTTGAGCAAAACAATGAAAGATGCAATCTGAACCTGCTATTGCGTCATACATTATGGATTGTTCCTAGAAGTCATGGATGATGCAATCATAACTAGGCTTACATCCCTCTGCTGAACAAATTGCCCTATATCAGCTCTAGAAATCATGCAGCGTCGTGCTCTCTTATTTGTCAGTGTTTGATTTTGCAAAGGGACACATTTCTGTTTAGCCCAAGTGAGCAGAGATGCCTCGTACTTGTGTGAACAAAGCAGATCATTTCTGCTATGCAAAAGCGCAGTATAACCACCATCGTTAAGAAAGCCTATCAATTTTATTGGCTGCAAAATGGAGATCAGGTCAAGATGTGGGCCCCACACATATTCTGTAACACTTGTGCAACAAATCTTCACCAGTGATTGAACAGGAAATCTATGCCTTTTGCAGTGCCAAAGATTATATCAGCAATTGTTACTTCTGCATGGCGCCTCCAGTTGTGAAAGGTGTGTCAAAGAAGAAAAAGTGGACCCTGCTTTATTCAAACATTCAAATCAGCTATACGCCCAGTACCCCACGGAGAAGGACTGCCGGTTCCTGATGCATCAGAATCATTCTCACTTGAGTCAGACGAGGAAGAGGATGAAACTTCTGGTCCAGAACCATCAAGGTCACATGACCCAGATTTTCTCCCATCCTCCTCCTCTGAACCACACATCATAACACAAGGTGAACTGAAAGACCTTGCCAGGGATTTGGAACTACCCAAGAGTAAGGCAGAGCTGTTGGGCTACAGACTGCAGCAGTGGAATCTCCTGGCAGGTGTTAGGGTTTCCATGTTCTGTGACCATCAAAAGGATCTTGTCCCATTCTTCTTCATGGAAGGTGATCTTGTAGGCTGCAACAACATCGATGATGTGATTGCAGCCCTCAACATCGTTCATGATCCAGATGAGTGGAGACTGTTCATTGATTCATCGAAGATGAGTCTTAAAAATGTTTTGCTGCATAATGGAAATGTTTTTCCATCAAATCCAGTTGGTCATGCAGTCCATATGAAGGAAACCTATGACAACATGAAATAACTTTTGAGGCGCATGAACTATGACCAACATCAGTGTCAGCTTTGTGGCGATTTGAAGGTTGTTGCTCTCTTGCTTGATCTGCAGACTGGATACACAAAGTACTGCTGTTTTCTCTGCGAATGGGATAGTCGTGCGGGAGATTCCCACTACATCAAGATAGATTGGCCACTCCGACAGTCTTTGGCGCCTGGGAGGAAAAGTGTTCAGGATCCACCACTTGTTGAATCAAGGAAGATTTTGTTACCACCCTTGCACATCAAGCTGGGTCTGATGAAGAAATTTGTCAAAGCCATGGACAAAACACAAGCAGCTTTCAAGTACCTCCGTGGAAAATTTGCAAGGTTAAGTGAAACTAAGATAAAGGAAGGTGTCTTTGTTGGTCTTCAGATTCGTGAACTTCTTCGAGATTATGCATTTGACAGTGCGCTGTGTGGCAAGGAAAAGGCAGCATGGAAAGCCTTCCAGTTAGTGGCAACAAATTTTCTTGAAGACAACAAGGCAGACAACTACAAGGAGTTGGTGGAAAACTCCTCAAGGCATACAAAAGCTTTGGTTGCAACATGTTGCTAAAGATACATTTTTTGCACTCTCATATCGATTTTTTTTCCCACCGAACTGCGGAGCAGTGAGCGACGAGCATGGCGAGCGATTTCATCAGGACATTGCAACAATGAAAAAACGCTTTCAGGGCAAATGGAGCCCATCAATGCTTGCAGACTATTGCTGGATAGTGACAAGAGATGCTCCATTTAATGCATATGTAGTGACACTAGTAGGAGGCATTATCCCTCTTGTTTATTTCAGCTCTCACAGCCATAGGGGATAACTCCATACCGGGTCGGGACAGCCAACATGCTTCCAGCACCACAGCTTGAAGAGGCAAAGACCACGACGACAGCAGCACGACGAGTTCCATTCCCGATGGCAGCAGCCCTGACTGTGAGTCGGAGCTCGCCTTTTATTCTCCCCAGCGTGGCCAGGCTCCACGCTCGGCCGCGCACCCTTCTGGATCCCCCAGAAGGCTCCGAGCTTGGCCCACGGGCCCAACGGGTAGAATGGGCTGCTACCCCTAAACCCATTGTCTACCAATCTCCCAGCGCCACGCGCTACCGTGCCTCATTCCATGTCACTACACATACAGGAGACAAGCCAAGAAGCGCCGAGAAGACACTGAATAAGGACTAAACTATGTACTTATTTATACATGATTGTTGTTTGTCTTTTCTTTCATAATAAATGTTATGTACTGTATATAACCCTTTTGCTGATTTTTAAAGTGTTACATGAACAGGACACGTGACATTATCATGTAAAGCAACCATAAAATAATAAAAAGACCAAGGTTTACAATTTATGAGTAAAAATCTACACAATATACATAGACGTAAATTTTAAAAACGTAAATATCTTGGGAACAGTAGCCAATCGGTTGTTTCCGTTGTCATATTTGAATTCAGCACGTCAAAATCCATAATAAACAGCACATTTCATCTCTGAAGCAGATGACGTCTAAAAAATTGTAGACCAGTGTTATCAAAGCATGTTTATTTGCATGTTCGGAAAATGAATGCGTCGTGCAGGCTGAAAAGAAAAAAATATTTAACATCACACAAAACTGTGCTGCTTACAAACAGCAGAACACCTCCCAACATACCTTGCATGCATGTCATGCGATGATACTGCAATAGGACCACATTCATTCAGCTATTGAGCTGGTGGTCTCGAAATGGCTGAGAGAATTGTACCTGCGCTCTGTTGATTAGACGATGTGCACGCACGGGATGATGCAAGTCGTGCCTTCCTGCTGTTTGTGAGCAGCACACCTGTGTTGGGAAATCTTTCCGTGCGTTGAAAAGAATTATTGATATTAACTGTACGTAACATACAGATACCATTGCTACCATCAATGATGGCAAATGTAAAGATAAAATTATTTCCTCCATGTGTTCGGTGCACACTTACGTTTGTAATGCGATAATACAATTTCTTCATTAAGGCCCTATTTAAAGAATATATCAGTACATCTCTTCGTATATTTACATTTTATGCTTTTTTAACCGTAGGAAAGTTTAACTGAGTCTCAAGACTCTTGTTCAGGAGGTCCTGCAAAGTATTTCTCAGTCGGGGGTGGTAATGCTGCTGTGCAGAATCCCAATTGAGCATTTTCCAATAATTTTTCAGCATTGGGATTTTTCTGCCCATATCAGTTATCTATGAGAGGAAAAAAAACTGAGAACACAGAGAAACCCATACAGACCCGAGGGAGAGATATGTATACAAGCTCCATGAAAAAAGGCTCCAGTCAGGAATCCAACCCAGGAATTTTTTGCTGTGAGAAGGGAGTGTTTCCACTGCATGCACCCTGCTGCTCAAATGAGAGTGCAGCTATGTGTTCACATTCGAGAGACTATACATGCATTGAGTCATTATTCCTGATCAGTCACGATGAGGATCAGTAGCCGGTGTTTGTCATGTCGTATAACTTGAGCAGCACCCAATGACTATTAACTTTAGCCAGCAGGGAGCTCTGATTTAGCACCCAAGATTGACTGCTGCTCCACTCCCTCACATTCCGCTAGTAGGGTATAAATATACTGCAGCGGCAAACTGGGCTTGCCAGGCGTGACTGACAATTCATATCATGCATAACTCGGTGAAGTTGCACACCCAAACAGGTGCTCTCCTTTTAAAGCATAAAAAGTAGAATTTTCCAAACACTTATAGTTTTTTATACTCTTTGTGTTGTTTTATAGATTTTATTGATACGATTAACGTGATATCAGAAAGAAAACAAGGTGGTACTATCTCTTTATTGCAGATGTAATTTGCCTGTAACTGGCAGCGTGTACAGAAAGCACAGGGCAGAATATGGGTCTCTGGATTTTCAACATTGTGACTTTCTTCTGGATTGCAACGAGGCTGTCTACAAGGTAATGTTGATTACTTGATACAACATGAATCTAAATAAAATACAGTCATCCTGCACTGCTCATGCAACGCACATTTCACATTTATTTAACGTTGAAAGAGACATTGCATTTAATTTGCAGTCAAAGCTATTATTTTTCAATAGATGTCTATTTTGTAGACAGTTTGAACGATTCCAAAATAACGGTTGACCAATTATGATAAAATGTTCATGATATATTTGTTTCTGACACGATGTTTTTGAACTTGAATAAAAGACACAAACTTGGCTCCTGTCAGGTGCAAATGACTCTGCGATGCGAGTGTCCGACAGTGTGGCTGCCTACGACATGTTCGATGCAGTGAGAGCAAAACCCTGCAGTGAATTCCATGTGCCACGGGACCCCTCTTATTCACGTACACATATGGGACGTGTCTCTTGATAATAAGTAAAGAAAAACATTGTAAATACATTTTTTTACTTTTCATGTTATCGCAATGGGCCCGTCCACAAGCGTAGGTTTCTCTCTCTTGTCAATTGGGTCTCCGTTCAATTCCCTTTGACACAGGTGTCTAACGGGTTACGTGCGATTTCCTTTGGCAATTTTGCATTCAGAAAAGTCAAATTTTGGCAGGAAAATTGAACTTCAATCGATTGTTCACACAGGAGCATAATGTCGTCATATTTATTTACGTCTCATTTTATATGAGGTTTTTTTTTTATTGGTGTGTACTCACACATCTCAGTATTGTAGTTTTTATTTCACATTTTGTCAGGTTTTAGACTTAAAAAACGAGTGCAAAACCACAGTATTTCACAAGCTTAAACGTTTCAGAGTATAGTACCAACAGCACTACTAATTAGTTTTGATTCGAGAAGAGACCTGATCGCTCGTTGGACCATTCTGTCTACAGGAAAGCCACCCACACGGATTCCTATCTAAAGCCTGATTCCCACCACCGTCCAGCCCAGAAGAACTCTCTCATCAAAACACTACACCATAGGGCACGTTGCATCTCCGACCAGCACAACCTAGCCCAGCCACCTGCAACCCTGAGCAGGAGCGGTAGAAAAAAGATGGATGGATTAAAATGCATGAGAATGTTTTATATTTTAAACGTTATTTTTAACACTGTGATTTCTGTAATGTTTTAATTTAATGTCAGCAGAATTATTCATTACTTATCATGTTAAGAAATGTCAGCTAATATTTATTTGCGAGCCAGATGCAGTCATCAAAAGAGCCACATCTGGCTCGCGAGCCATAGGTTGCCGACCCCTGACCTAGCCAGTGAGCGTGAGCGCATACAGCAAACCTCTTGTTGCAGCAGTTCTTTCTCACCTGATGACGGTTGCTTGTGTTGCGATCGAAACGTCGTGATTTATTATTTTTCTACCTATGTGACTTTACCGAAAGAACCAAAGAGTACTACTAATTAGGTTTACACATTCATCAAGTATTATTTTCTTCTTTTGGGAGAGGGCAATGCATTTTAGACCAATGTCAATTTATGTTCATCAATAATTAGAGGAAATGATACACGTTATTCCCAATCTATAAATCACAAGTCTATCTGGTTTCTGTTTTATTGCCTTCGTGAAGAGCTTAAAGGCTTTTAAGCCACCATAAATTTATCCGAAAATTAAGTGCCATCATTTATAATTCTTGACAAACCTCGCTTAGTGCTGAAGATGCGTTCCTAGAGAACGTATTTCGTACGAGCAATATATGAGGGCTTCATTGGGGTATCCGTAATAGCACGAATAATAATCCAGGTTTATAAACATTATTTAATGAATACTAAATTACATATTAAAACATCAGCAAGTATTATGTACTGTACTCACGAGTGCATTATGTTAATAAGCAGTCCTCGAGTTACGAACCGAATTCGTTCTGAGATCCTTTCGTAAGTCGAACGGTTCTTAAGTCAGAACACAATAATGCTCCGTATTTAAATGCCCATACGGTCAGTATTATAAAATGTGTTCGGGTTCAACAAAAAGGGAAGCATGGCTAAACTCATAATTAAGAATCAATATTGTATATTTGCATGTAAAACTGTACAAAAATACTGCATGTATAGTAAATAAAATATATAAATATAAAAAAAAAATCACTTACCTTCAGTCCTAATGCTTGCTTGCTTGTCGTCACAAGGGTGGCAATGAGTCACCAAAATTGCACAACAACAACCACCGCCATTTGCTACTAAGTGGTGGTGATGTCAACAAGGCGCTTCTGCCAAGCTATGTGCACGTTAAGGCCACGTGAAGTGTCGAACGCCCACTGGCAGGAGGTCACGGGACAGACTCAGGTGCCCTGGGTTGACTGACTGAGAGGACTGGCAGATGTACCACCTGTGCCCCTACTGTGCCAACTTGCTTTGTTTAGTCAACCGGCGCTCTGGTCGTTGTTGTGAGCATCGCTCCTCTGTACTCCGTTGTTGCTGGAGGGCGACTGCATCCAACTGCCCAGTAGCGTCCTTTAGGAGCCTCTTCCACAGAGGCTGATCTTGACACCGCTGGTACTAGTCATCGGCAAGTCCACTCAGCTCCACATCCTCTTGTACCACATCACTCCATTTCTTTTTAACCCCCTCTATCCGGCCGAACAAAAGCTGTTTAGGCATGCGGTGGTTGGGCATGCGGGCTACATGACCCAACCAACGCAGCCTTGCCTACTGGAGAAGTGCACCAATAGAACTTTGTCCAGACCTTTCAAGGATTTGTGAGCTCCTCACACAATACAGCCTGGTTAAACCCAGGATGGATCGCAGGCCAGCCTAAATGTTTCTAACCAGTGAAGATGTTCCAATAGGGGCATCCACGTTTCGCAAGCATAGAGAAGGGAGGGCATGACCATGATCTAGAAGACCTTCGTGTCGAGTGACAGACCAGGTAGCTTCCACACAGCGTTATGCAGCCAATGAAAAGATAATGCCGCTCGACTGATTCGGAGTGAGATCTCTGCTGTCAAACCGGAGCTGATCATGAGTGCACTGCCCAGAAATGGAAAACTCTCCACTATATTCAAAACTGCCCCATCACCAATTGGGAGTTAAGGGGGTGAAGTGTTTGATGGCACAAAATACCCAGGTAGGTGCTTAGTTTTGGTAGGGCTGATGGCAAGGCCCCACCTCTTCGTGGCACACTCCAGGTCCAGTAGCAGCGCCTCCAACATCTCCTCTGAGTGAGCAGCCATCACCAGATCATCAGCATACATAATATGGTTAACCATAATATTGGTCGTGAAAGCCTACGTGTTAAACTGATGGTTGACCAATAGGGAGTCATCCCTACACCGCAGCCGGGCGTCGACCAGCCTCCCATTGTATCTGTACCAGATGTAAATTATTCCGGTACAGCCATCGAAGGTTTCACAAACTACGTGGTCGAAAAATATGTTAAATAATGTGATCAGCCTCCCATTGTATCTGTACCAGATGGAAATTATTACGGTATAGCCATATAAGGCTTCACAAACTACGTGGTTGAAAAATATGTTAAATAATGTGGGAGCCAGAGGACATTCCTGTCGCACCCCAAGGTGAACAGGGAATGGTTCCTCCGACTCCCAGCCACTTAGCTTTACCAGAGCCTGCCCACCATCGTGAAGGTCCGTAATGATTGTGAGCAGAGAGTCGGGGACTCTGAAAGTATGAAGAACAACCCAGAGACCAGGCCTACGGATGGTATCATAGGCCTTAACTAGGTCAATAAAGCAGAGATGTAGGTCCTGTTGGAATTCCCTATACCTTTGCTGTAGCAGACGGACATAAAATATGGCATCTGTGCAAACCACAATGGGGCTCCACAAGCCTCTCCTCAGCGTGCCTGGCAAGGCGATTTTGAATAATTATTGTCAGGACCTTTCCCGGCACACTGAGTATTGGAGATGCCTCCATAGTTATTACAGTCTGTGATGGCCCCCTTCTTGAAGAGTGGAACCACCAGGGTATCCTTTCAATTCTGCAGAACACGTCCAGTGGTCCAGACTTCTATTATTATGTCATGTAGGGCAGAATGTGCACAAACGCCACCCTCCCTCAGCATTTTGCTTGGGAGATAATTTCTGCCGGGTGCCTTTCCTGGTCTCACACTGGATCGCCTTCAGTACTTCCTCAACAGATGGCACCTCAGCCAGCCACTCACAGGAAGTGACTTCTTCTTCCAATATTTGAGGCACAGCAGCCTCAGCAGGGTCATACCCACTTTGTCCCACAATGTTTTCCAGGCTGAGGGATTTCCCCTCCCCCAGGACCTCACAGAAATACTCAGCAAATCTGCAAACCTGTTCCTGGGGGTCGGAGATTGGATTACCGTTCTATCCCCTAAAGATGGTAATAGGTGTGGCACTGCAAGTTACATTTTTGATGGAATTAAAGAGGGATTTCTGATCGCGGGACAAAGAGGGAGATTCCATCTCCTCAGCAACCCGCGACCACCACCCATCCTTGCAGTACCTCACGGCTCTCCAAACCTCCGAGCAAAGGCTGCGGTAAGCCTCCTCATCTCTGACATGGGAAGCTGTAGACGATGAGAGTGGGCCTTTTGCTTTTTCTCAGCCAGCCTGAACAACTCCTGGGTGTACACTCACCACCAGAGTGGAAGAACGACAGGCGCATCTTACAGATGACAAGTCGATGCTCAGTGGGGAGATCAGTTCCACGGTAGGTCCTGGTGTCAAGGACATTGGCCCGCATTCGCTGTTCTGTCACTATGTAGTCCAGCAGATGTTCTTGATTGGACCCGGCATGCATCCATGATGTTGTGTGGATGTGCTGATGCCAGAACAGCGTGTTGGAATTTACAAGCCTATGGGCTGCACAAAAATCTAGCAGCCTCCTACAATTGCTATTGAGTTGATCTGACCCATGCCTTCCAATCACTCCAGACCAGGTGCCAGCATCATGACCAACTCGGGCATTAAAGTCACCCAACAAGATGACTATCCCGAGGGGCCACTTTAGCTAGCACCTGTGACAGAAGGTCATAGAAGGCATCTGACTCATTGGCCTT